AGTCAGAGATCGTGTTAAATTAACCTTTTCCTCCACATTTATTTTTTTTATTTCATTCAAACAAACTATTAAGTTAAGAAAAACAAACAAACATAAAATCTCAAATTTGGAATGAAAAGGAGCAGAAAGAAGACTTAATCTTATAATATCTGCCCCTCTGTCACAAAGCATTCACTAAAACAAAACAAAACACTTAATTCAAAAACATTTAAAAGGCAAACGCAGCCACTGGCAGCCCCATCGTAGGTCCTCCTTACCAATTCATTTTACACCGTACAAAGCATATCACAATACATTTTGTATGACATATTTTCTCATATTTATTCAACAAACTTGCTTTAATTCTTCTTTTAAATATCATGTTTGATTTTGATTCTTTAGTTTCTCTGTTGAGATTGTTCCATTAAGATTCCCTTCACAGTAAAACAACGTTCCCTTAATTAAATAAACCAACTCTGATGGTTACGTGTTTATTAGTGTGTGACTGTTGGCAGCCCCCCCCCCCCCAGAAACTCTCTCAACAGTTTGGTAGTCATGACGACCGACTTAAAAAACCTGCCTTTTCTCAGCTTACATTATTTCCTCACCTCCTTCTCTTCTCTGCAGGGGCGCAAAGAGACCGAGTGGAATGACCTCCGCCCACGGCCGTACTCCCAGCTACGGCTCGCAGACTCCCATGTACGGTACGGGCTCCAGGACGCCCATGTACGGGTCTCAGACGCCGCTGCATGACGGTAAGAGCCTCGGCGTGATCTCAGCTTCTTTTTTTTAGTTTTCTGACATTTTTTCCCACATGTGCTCATCGCTCCTTCTTTTTCCCCTCCAACAGGAAGTCGCACACCTCACTACGGCTCTCAGACCCCACTGCATGATGGGAGCAGGACGCCAGGTCAGAGCGGAGCCTGGGACCCCAGCAACCCCAACACACCTTCCCGGTAACACACACACACACACACACACACACACACACACACACACACACACACACACACAGCTCAGCATTTTCAGGTGTGTTTGCTATAAACACATTTCTTTTGTTGTTTTTGATATATTTTTCGGTTTTCTTTTTCAGGAACGACGAGGAGTACGACTTCGGCTTCGACGACGAGCCCTCACCGTCCCTCAGGGCTACGGGGGACCCCAACCCCAGACCCGGGTTACCCAGAAGTCCGTCTCCACAGGTCAACCCTCAGTACAACCCTCAGACACCTGGCACACCTGCTATGTGAGTGTTTTTTCTTTTCATCAGATCAGATTTGATTGATGTCCCAGGACGTTCACACTCTGTCTCACCTGTCGTGTGTTTGTGTGTGCGTGTGCGTGCGTGTGTGTGTGCGCGTGCGTGTGCTCAGGTATAACACGAGCAGTATTCCCCTACGCGGCACCGTCACCTCAGGGCTCATACCCCAGCCCCAGTCCTCAGAGCTACCACCAGGTGGCGCCCTCGCCGGTCGGCTACCAGAACACACACTCTCCTGCCAGCTACCATCCGACGCCCTCGCCCATGGCGTACCAGGTAAGACATTAGGGGGTTGCGACCGTCACGCCTCGCTCTGATTGGCTGGATTACAAACAGTGCAGAAGTCTTTGAGCTTCTTAATTGGACATGTAGTGACTCTTGTTTGCTCCCACAGGCTAGTCCCAGTCCCAGTCCTGTGGGCTACAGTCCCATGACGCCCGGAGCGCCCTTCCTGGAGGTTACAACCCTCACACCCCTGGCTCCAACATCGAGCAGGGCGGCAGCGACTGGGTGACCACGGACATCCTGGTCCGGGTCAAGGACTCCCTCATGGACCTGATGGGACAGATGGGGGTCATCAGGAGCGTCACGGTAACAAACACACACACACACACACACACACACACACACGACACACACAGCACACACACACTAGTGCTGGGCGATATGGTCTAAATTTGATATGACTGGATATTTATCATATTAAAGTTTATAAATGTAGTCTATAAAACTGAATCTCCACTGTATTAAAAAGAATATATCACTGATCCAGGAACATTACTTTAGATTCTAAAAATAACAGTCACCAATTTACTCTTGAACCATTCTGATGCAAAAGTCAATTACAACTTTTATTAAATGAATTGAGCTCTAATTATAAACATATTGTGTATTTTTCTTATATTTATGTGCTCATGTTTATTCACCATGCTGTAAGAGTCTACTTAATGTGATATTAATATGAGGCTGTGATAGATCTGGAATCTCTCCTTCTTTGTTCTCTGTGAGAAACTCTTCATCCTTACATCTTTACTGTAGTCTGTAGGGACAGCAGTGAAGCCTCCAGCTGAACCTGCAATCAGCTGGACTCTGTCAATCAATCATCCGGGTCAGCGGGACACTTAGAATGTCGAGCTCTGCGTTAAGAGCCCTTTCTGTGGACGTAATTCGACCTCGCTCTCATCTTTCTCTTTCTCCTCCGCCCTTTCGTCTCCGAGCAACAAGCGCTGTTCCCGTTTCCATATCAAGCATTAATTAAAT